GGCGCTCAGCAGCAATCGCGCTTCGCGTCCCCCCGGTTTCGCATCGTGAAGGTCAACGACGCCCGTTCGTTCTCTTGGCCGAGCCCCGCGGCCTGCGCCCGCAGCAGACCGGAGGCCGGAGGGGGAGAGCGAGCGGGAGTTGCCGGCCGAGAGCCCGCGTGGCCTGTGCCGTTACCGAGCGTCCTGTCGACGTGGTGCCTGCTGAGGAAAATGCCCCGGAGGAGGAGAAAAGGCAGCGTGAGGTCTCAGGCGTTTCCACTGCCATTTTAGCGCTGAGGCTTCCTGCCGGCTGCGTGTTTACGTAGGAAAACTGGCCTCCGAGCGGTTTAACGAGCGAGGGCTCTCCTAGGCAGCGTAGTGTTATTCTCGTGTGGCCGTGTTCGCTGCCGCTTCCAGCTCCTCGCAGCGCGGATCAAAGCTTTCTTCTTGGGCTATGTCTGTGGCTTGCCCTGCTCTTAAATATCTTGAGGCAAGGAAGGATAATTTTTAGAATTGTACTGCATCTGTGTTTTTGCTTTTGGGTTTTTACTCATGTTTCTGTGTGTGAGAGGTGATCTGCTGCGTCTTATGTTAATTTACGTTTGTAATTCACTAATCAAGAGCTATCTCTGGACAGTGGTTGTACACTGTGAGGTAGGGAGGGCGCCCGGGTGTTCATCGCCTTTGGGGGCAGTAAGTTTTGCATTGAAAAAACTTTTCAAATAGAGAGGAATCATCTCCCGTGGAAGTGAGGTTAACGCGGTCTTTAAGACTGCGGACCTGGTTTGAGTTTATGGATGAAGAAAAGCTTAAACTGTTATTTTATTTTATTTATTTTATTTTTTATTTTATTTTTTTTCGCATTCTAGAACATTTTTGTAGAAATTGTCTTGTTTTTTGTTTATATGCCGTGGCATGCATAATGCTATGTGAGATACCACCGGAGGGAGTATTACCCATCACAGTGCTCTGCCTTTCCTATTACGTAAAGAGCTTTTCATAATAAAATAGAATTTTTTTTGTACTGTTTTTTTTTTTTCAAACTTAAGTTACTTCTTTATTTATCGGAGCAAATGATGGTCTATTGAATTTAATGAAAACATTAGCGTGCTTCCAGTTGCATGTGTTTTGATTAGTGTTGTGTCAGAACAGGCTTTAAAGTGGGAGGGGGGTGGGTTTATGTGGTTAAATAAAAAAATATGCATAACTGGGTGTGATCTTGTAGTGCTGTCTTTCCCATCCTGGAGTTATTAACTGAACAGCTTGGTTGTGTTTCTTCTGAGTTCAGTTGTACCTTTGTTTTTTTCAGTTCCTCACTGATTTTTCCAAATTGAGTTGTTTGTTACCAAATTGTCTTAGAAGATTTTTCATATCTTTGTACCGTTTGTTAAATACTTGTTGATTAATGTGTTCGAGACACAACTTGAAAGAGTTCTCAAAACAATTTTAGGTTGTTTGTTAGGTAGCTTAAGGGGAAACTCTTTGTTTTGTAAGACTGAAAAGTAAAGCTTTAAAGCGCAGCTTATAAGGCCTCTAGAAGTGCTTGAGTTTTGAATGCCGTCGAAGGTAGATTTTAATTTGCATCTTTTTTTTCTGTCTCAGGAAAGAACGAAGAGATCTCCAAACATAGTGGAGAAACCTAACATGTACGAGTGCACTAAAGCAACTAGAAATAAAGCTGCACAGGGCACGCTAAATGTGCAAAAATATGATAAAGCATGAAAACGGAGAAGCTATTTACTCTGTAAAAGTGCCACTTCATTACAGGGTCCAATTCTTTTTTCTCTTTTCATGCTGAATAATGTCTTACACTCAAACGTTTCAAGTAGAACTGTGTGTATGATAATGGAGTATATATTTTGAGAAAGGCTGTCATGATCTGGCTGTGAGCTAGATTTTCAGTGACTTGGAATTCAAATATGTTGATTTTAATAATATTAAAAAATTATGGTACGTCTCATATCAACTGTGCATGTTCAAGTCACTTCTTTTAAAATACCAAAATATATTAGAGTAAAATATGGAAAAAAAGAATAATCAATAGGATATTATTCTTCCTCCTTTTTCTTTTTTTAAAAATCCCACTGTCTTTACCTTTTCTCTCTCAGTGACTGAAGTTTCTATTTATGTCCTGGTTGAATAAATCATTAAACAAGTACTTTGCTTTACACAATGTGTTTTTAAGCTTGATGTTAATGGTGTTGTCCCTAGTAGCAATGGAAGCTTCAGTTATTCCCTTTTACCCTAGTACTGCATTACACCAGGCTGGAAAAGGAACCAGGAACTTGATCTGCTCTTTGGAAGAAAGAAATGATTAAAAAAATCTGTGAGAAAAGTATTTGAGTTCTATCAGTTCCATAACCATGCCATACGATGACTTCACAGAAATGGAATACCTTAAGACGATGCTGGTAAACAGGATATGTGTGGTGCACCTCTAAAGACAATCAGAGACCTCAGTGGGCAAGACAGGGATCCCTAATTCGGCAGTAGGTTCTTTTTGCTGCTTCTCCATGAAGTAACATATTGGGGAGCAATGTGTCTGGAGTTCTGGACTCACTAGAATCCCCTGTGCTGTGCAGGATTTGAGGGGGCGCTGGATGTACCTAGGGGCAGGATTCAGCAGGTGATCATGGCCAGAAGTGTAAGGTTTTTGTCCAGGTTTCAGCTTCTCATGAGTTCAAGGCAAATATCATGAGTTTGTGTAATGCAGAGGTGACTGTCCAAGTTACCCTCTTCTAGATACCTGCAGAAGTTTGATGGAAGCCCTTAACTGACTGGAACAAGATTCTGCTTGTCAGCCACTGTGGTGTATCTTCTGTGCATGGGACCCTTGACGAGTTAGAAACATACTTGTGCTGTTTCTGTCTTTCCCCACTAGAGCACTGCAGGAATTGCAGGGTTGCTCTCAGGTTTACTGTGCTTAAAACGAAGTCCGTGCTTCTGGCTGCCAGTCCGGCAGGCTGTACATGAGCGTTTAATCCGACTATTCTCACTCATAGCTACTTAGCAAAGATTTGTCAGGTAAAACTATGTGTTCAGTTACCTCTGTAAAAAATAAGCCTTCGTACAGGAGGCAAGGTTTGGCTTACGGTGTGGTTTTTTTGTTGTGTGGTGTTTTTTTTAATTAGTGGTGGTTTGCGATAAGAAAAGGACCCAGCCTTGAAGTTCGCAGGGCTGACAGTTCAAACTTTTAAACTAAGCGATTCTCATCTGCGAAATTTCAATCATAAAAAAAAAGCCAACAAAATCATCAAAACCAACCACCACCACCCCTCCTTTTGTGTCTCAGGTCCAGTAATTTGGATGAGCAATAATCTTACTTTTTTTTAAAAAAAAAAAATGTTCTAATTTTAATTTTTGCCAGGTTTGTTAGCAGATGTTGTAGTACAGTGTCTTTTGCAAGATAGCTCAGTGGGAAAACCTTGTAAAGTTTATTCATCCTGAAAAAGAGAAATGAGCAACAATAGTAAAAAAAAAAACCCTACTGAATAGTCAAGATTTAAGATTATTTGTGAATAGAAGTTCCTGTAGCTTTTGTAAATGGGCAGATTTCCCTCAGGTTAATGTAGCAGGCAATTCCACTTCAGACGGGAAGTGGTGAATCACAGAATCGCTGATGTTGGAAGGGGCTTTTAAGTCCAGCCCTCCTGCTCAAGCACGATCCTTGGTATTCCTTCAGCTGTGAAATGCAACTCTTGGGTTTTTGGCCATGAAAATAATTGTTTAATCTACTGAAATTCACATTTTATGGACAATTGTCTTTGCATATCTGTTGAATCAAATAAAATTCAAATGGGAACAGTAATAATTTTTACGGCGTTAGCTGTGCCTTAATGTACCTACATCATAATTATGTTCGTTGAAGACAGTTGGGTTACTGTAAGTTATTTTCTTGTTTCATTGCAACAGGTAGGAGGAAAGCATGGTTTAATTTGGTTCCTTGTTTTCTGGGTTAGCAAGTTAATGTTCTTTCTGCAAGTACCAAATTTCTGAGGTCAAAGATGTCCGTCAGAGTTGATTCGAGTCAGACCCTGATCTGTTAAAAGAATGACAAAGGTCCCATTTGTCCTGTTTGAAGGGTAACCTTTTTGTTATCCAGAAGTATAGTAGACACTTCAGAGACGGTGGTGCAGACAGGAATAGTCATATGAGTAAATAACGCTTAAGCTGCCGGAGTGAAAAGAAATTGATCCTAATTTTTTTTTTCTAACTTGGTATCCATTGGCATATTAGAGGTTTTTTTTTTTTTTTTTTTAATTTGTTCAAGGATAATACAGCTTTGCAGTATGTTAGATAACATAATACAGTGTTGTTTTATTAATTGTTCTCAGATTTGAAAACTGATGTAGTAGCTCTTTTGAACAGATTTGTTTGAATTAGCAAAACTGGTTTGTTAATTGGTGATAACATTTTGAAAGGCTTTTTAAATGAGAGGATTACATTCGTTGAGAAAGTGGTGTATTAGTGTACCATTGAGAAATATTACTGTGGTGTAAGTTACCTTCTCTGCTCTCTCTGTTGGAAGATGAGATACATTAACAGTGGATTTGAATAGTCTGCTTTAGGCTGTACAATTGAAGTAGTCTGTGCTGGATAATATTACAAGTGAAGGAAAAGCTGCTCGTGAACATTGTGATTTTATTGTTTTGTGTCACATTGGTTTATTTCCTTACAGGTAATCTTTGAAATTGGGTGAAAAACTCAGTTCGCTGTACATAGTAATATGAGTGTTATGTTTTGTGTATTTGTAAAAAGACCTGATTTTTTTGTGTGTGTGTCTTTACCCTAGATATTGAAGCACAAATTCGAGAAATTCAAGGAAAAAAGCCTGCTCTTGATGAAGCACAAGGAGTAGGCCTTGATTCCACAGGATATTATGATCAAGAAATTTATGGTGGCAGTGACAGCAGGTTTGCTGGATATGTCACTTCTATTGCAGCAACTGAATTGGAAGATGTGAGTGATTTTATGTATTTGTTTGTTTAGGGCATGCATTATAAGTATTTTGAAATTGATTTTGAGTAGTTTTTAATATTTGCTGTCGTTAAAGCAGTTATTGTCATAAAGCCATACTGGACCAAATACATCCTATCCAGGAAGCTCGTAAGTTGTAAATCTGGCTTGTGCTTCATGAATTGTGCTTTGAAAGTCATATAGGCCCAAGCAGAAGGCAAAAAATTGTGACCTGGTACTTAGTTGGTATCAGCCTTGGCAAGAATAATTGACTGTTTTCTGTTGTTACTGCCAAGATGAAAAAATAATATTCTTAAGAGGAAGGAAGATTATGTTCAGTTTAGTTGATGCATTTTTTTAGTGATGTACTATGTGTCATTGGTAGACGTCTAAGAATTCCTTAATTAAAAATTTCCATTACAGAGTCTCACTGAAATCAGTTCATAGTTTTAAGAGCAGTTTTTCTTTTGGGTTGCTGTAAATTATTGCACAGAAACTGACTACTAATATGATGAAATAGATAGCAAAAGCAGCTTACACATTCTAGTACTTGTTATTGCCATTGTGATTGAGAAGGTATAACTAAATTAACCATATATTTCTGAATTTTTCACTGCTTCTGAAGCCTTTTTAATAGGGTTATATACTGAAGTTTCATTCTATAGCTAGCTTTTAAGAAAAAATGCTTTGAACTCTTGTGTACTGTTTTTCATATGCCAGCTAAGGAACCGTGTCAATAGCGCTAATATGAAATACAGGCTTTTTGTTTAACTAGTGCAGACAGCATACTTGATTAAATGTAGCATATTGTAGGATACTTGAGTATTGCAGAGGAAAAGTTATCTTTAGTGATGTGGGTAGGTTTATCTGATTCAGCAGTTTGGGAGTAATAACACAAGCTGTATGAAAAAGCTTGCTAAAATTCCAAATTAACTATTCTAGTTGCCCGTTTGCATCTTTTCTATGACTACAAGATGTTAATTTGACATTATTTTGTCTAAATATAATATCAATGTGACGAACTCGCCACGTCTTTTTACTGACAGGATGATGATGACTACCCTTCTACAAGTTTGCTTGGCCAGAAGAAGCCAGGGTACCATGCTCCAGTGGCATTGCTTAATGACATACCACAGTCTACTGAACAGGTACGTCTTAATTAAAGACCCAGTAAGGTACTGTTGTAGGTATTAGGGGAAAGAAGTGTCAGAGTTTTTCAAGACCAGATCTTGTCTTCTGGAAATAAAAGATGTATGTAAAGAGCTATGGCATTTTAATTTTGCTGTAAGCTTGTTACTGCTTTAGTTAGAATTCTACAGGGTGATAAAAATTGGCACTTCCGCATGTAAAAGCAATATTGACATATACACTAAACTATAAAAAAATTTTTTTTAATAGGTCAGGTACTTGAAAAATGAAAATAGCTGGAAAATGTAATGTCCTTTATACTTCTGTTTTTGTAAAGAAAATGTAATCACCTAGGTTTTATATACCTGGAGTATTTTCTGTGAAATTTAAAAGCGTATGAAGTAGTGTTAAGTTCCCCTGCAAAAAGAAGGGGAAAGGTTGACATTGTGAAATGCTTTGGTAACAAGCAAATAAACTTCTTAAAATACAAAATTTTTGTCAGAAGTTGTTTTACAAGAAATTCTCTGTTAGATAAAATAAATACATTCCAGTTACAGAAGTAAAATTTGTATTGGCATAGTGTTTGGACATTCCTACGTAGTTGAGATTAAAAATAAAGTAGGCCGTTTTAGTAGTACTGAAAATGAATACAGGCCTATGGTCACCAGACACTTCTCATATTGTTCTTCTCACATATGTGACTAACAGACTTTTTTCGGTTTTTAGTATGATCCTTTTGCAGAACACCGCCCTCAAAAGATTGCAGATCGGGAAGATGAGTACAAAAAGCACAGGCGGATGATGATAATTTCCCCTGAACGTCTTGATCCTTTTGCAGATGGTAATTTATTTTGACTTTTCTATACCCTCTCTGAAATCTGTTGTCTTTGTCTTTAGCCCTTTGATTTCTGTTGGCATGCTTGTAAACTTAGTTTTGTTTTAAACATCCCCTTTTTATAGAGATTTGGTTGAAAACCTAGATGCCATATTCTTCATCTTTATAATACAAGTTTTCTTTCCAGGTAGAAGGACAAGAAAATAATGAGCCATTGCCATAGAAACACAAAGGGTTAAAGGTTTCTCTTTTCATTTTGTTTTGGGTTGTGCGTTATACTTTGAACAACTTGTGTATTGAGTGCTCAGATTCTTTCAGTACCTTGAAAGTTTTCATTCCAAATCGTAGATTTACAGGGTTATTGCTTTTGAAATGCTAGTTCTCGGCATAGAGCACCTAATTCTTACCATCCTATGTAAACTTAGGTGGTATAGCTAAAAGAAACAAAAGCATATATGAGACTTTGATACTGTTAATAGTTCAAGTCTGTTCTGATAATTTTAGGATGCAAGTCAGGAAAAGGGGTATTAGTGGGTCTGACAAAGTTTCTTCAGGTGAGTGAGTTTCACATGTGGCAATAAGGTGCCTGTTGGCTTAAAATTAGTAGCTATTTTGCAGGTTTTACAACTGAGAATTTCAGCCTGCATGAATTAATAGGGATATTAATTATTTTACTTGCTTAATTGTAATTGATATAAACATGTGTTGTCAGAATTCACAGGCCCATACTAACTGTCCTTAATTTCTTTCCTACAGCAGTACTGCTATATGCCAGTCCTGTCTGCATTCTTAAGGGTGCAGTTCAACACATCCTGTGTAGATTATGGTGAAAAAGTATTCCAAAGGAAAGTCCTATCAAAGCTAGTGTCAGAATGACACAGCCAATTGGGCAATGATCTTCAGCATAGAAATGTTTAAGATGTTTATTTTTTTTCCAAAATTATAATGCTATGCCACTTGTATAGCAAATCCGCACATTTTTCTTAAAGAAAAGTGTTTTTCTTGACAAGTCTCATTTTTATAAAGTTGGGCTTCTTTTAAAATATTTAAAAGTTTAATTAACTCAAGATACACAGCATAAAACAACATATGGTATACAAAACCCATTACCTGTGAGTATCATTGTGGTGGTATGTGTACTGTATTTCATTCAGCTCCCAATCACAATTGTACCTTGAGAAGAGGGGGAAAGTGTCATCAAACATTTTTTTGGGGGTGTTTTGGTTTGGTTTGGTTTGGTTTTTAATGAAGCCCTCTTACAATATGACACCAGAAGATCTGGGAGACATGTCCAGATTTGTCAAACTTACAAATGGGTCCTTATGATAAAACATTTTGAACATTACTTAGGCATGCAATAGTTATTTATAGTCAGATAACAACTAGGATTTAACAGCTTACACAAGGTAATGTTTTGAATATAAATATCTTTCCAAAGTGTTACTAATGGTAAAGAGATAATTTTCTAGGCTTCTATTCTGCTGCTTGAAGTCAGAACTGCTGATGGAGACAAAGGCACGAAAGTGTACGTATTCCGGATTAGCAACCCAGGAACCCATCACTTCTGAAGACTCTTAACTGTGTTGTCATTTTATCATTTATATCGGCTTAAAAATATTTGTTTGAAACTGCAGTAGTTATGTTTGTGTTCAAACAGGTTAAATTGATCAGCAAACTGAATAAACGTAAGATACATGTAATTTTAAAAATTTTCAATCAAAAAGTAAAATTAAATGATCATGGAATAATATAATATTAGAGCAGGACAGTAGAAAAAGTCAATAGTTTCTGCTTATCCTGTACTCATTGTGCTCCATTCCTGTTGCTGTTCTCTTCCGCAGGAGGGAAGACACCAGATCCTAAAATGAATGCCAGAACATACATGGATGTTATGCGTGAACAGCATTTAACAAAAGAAGAGGTGTGTGGTGGGAGGATTTGCCACTTAGTTTCATTTTACAGCCTTTGAAAGCATGTTAGGAAAATAGGAACAGAAATTCCGTTAATGTTTTTGTCTTGATTTAAAAATCCTTTTCTTTGGAAAATCCTGTTTTTCGTGTATTGAAAGTCAATAGAATTTAAAGATGAAAGTTGTGAAAAACATCTGTTCTATATGAAACCTAAGCAATGGAGGGAGAGATCATCTCGATATATTTTAATGTAGATTTTTTGTTGCACTTGTGTGTTTTTTTTATTTTCTTTCAGAGGATGAGAGACAAAAACTAACAGTCACTGAGGGGTGTTCAGTGTCAGAGATGTTTGTTTTTGTGAGCTCTGTGTTAAAGGAATCCGGGGAGGTTTTAAAAGGCGTTTGGAGGCACTTAAAACAGATGTTGCAATACTAAGAAACTGGTGTAAGGTTGACATTTGGTGGTGCTTTTTTTTTTTTAAAAAAAGTACATGCTTTATTCATGGCTATTAAAAATTCCTTTTTAATAGGTAAGAAAATATTAGTAATATAATCAATTTTTTTCTGTAATAACTACAGTGCCATCTTGTTAATTGGAGCAAAGTCTTGTAGTTCCGGTGATGTCTCAAGATTTACATCGATTCACCCTACTTGACTTCCCTTAATTAGTTCATAATTTTGACAGTCTTACTGTTTATAGATCCATGGATCAGTGAAAAACAGTCTGGGTTAGGATGATGTTTTAACAATATCATCTCAGAATTTTGAAGAAGAATTTCAGGGATTTTTTTATGTTGTGGGATGTAACTCACATGAGCGTGTTTTCTCTCTCATCCACCTTTAACTTAATGAAGTGGAACTTGTTTGAAACAGGTGTGTAATGATTTTAAGGTAGACATATAGGTGACAAAGTGATAGCACTCAAAATTCTCCATGCATTAGCATTTTGTTGTAATAATGGCTTTTATAAGAAATGTTTGAAAACAGCCCCTCAAAACACATAGCTGCTCTGTCAGCATAGAAGAATTTGAAAAGAGAATGAACTTAAAGTAGTAGCTAATTCCACGTTATTTGAGCAAAACCTCAAAAAATAGCATAGAAAGATAAGATACAGCTGAAAAATCTCTTTTAAAGGCTCAATCTGAAGAGGCCTTTCTAAGAAATCTGTTTCTTATGTTTGTCTTTGTGCCCTTGAATAGAGGGAAATTAGGCAACAACTAGCTGAAAAAGCTAAAGCTGGAGAGCTTAAAGTCGTCAATGGAGCTGCATCTCAGCCACCTTCAAAACGCAAACGGCGTTGGGATCAGACAGCTGATCAGACTCCTGGTGCTACACCTAAAAAATTATCCAGTTGGGATCAAGCAGAGGTAATAATCCTGGTGTTCATTAGCTTATCTACAGAAGACGTTATTAATACTAATCCTCTTGAATTTCAAAAGCTTCTTACTCTACTAAAAAAGAGTGACTAACAGTCTTTTACTGCATAGTGTAAGAGATATTAATGCATTTGGTTGTGTCTTGTATAGACTCCTGGACATACACCATCTCTGCGATGGGATGAAACTCCAGGCCGTGCAAAGGGTAGCGAAACTCCTGGTGCCACCCCAGGATCAAAAATATGGGATCCGACTCCCAGTCACACACCAGCAGGAGCTGCAACACCCGGGCGGGATACACCCGGTCATGCAACACCCGGCCATGGAGGTGCCACTTCCAGTGCACGTAAAAATCGGTGGGATGAAACACCTAAAACAGAAAGAGGTATTTATGGTGGACTGGAAAGTGCTAAATAAGTTTGGAATGGTTGATTGAATAGGATTTTTTCACCTTAAGTAAACAGTAAAGTCAGAAGTCGGGCAAGAAGCGATTATATTGTGACATCTAGTGGTTGATGTGAAGTGATGCTTTTGTCTGAGTCTGTAGCATTGAGTTCTGCCTGTTAGCTTAACTCACTTCTGTGAAAGCATCTTGGCCCAAAAATGGAACCAAAGTTTTGTGGTATATCCAGGGACAGCTGCAGATTGGGATTTTAATGTGTAAAGGATATAGTAAAGGAGCGCACGTTGAATTGCTTTTCGTAATACATTGACGTGCGTTGGTTTTGAACTGTTTAATTTTTTTGAAGAGGTTAGCATTAAAACAAATTTTGGAAGCATTTTCTCACCTGCCTCATTTGGATTAGGCTCATGTGACAGAGAACAGTGAAACACCCTTGTTACTTAATGCCTTTCTCAAGGAAGAACGTGGAGTTCTCTGTCCAATTTTTAGAATATCTGGATTCTTTTGTATTTTTTAGATTTTTATCTATTTGTGGTACGACTCAGCAAGAAGATGACTTACTTTTTTCATAAAATTAAGTTCTCCGTGTTTTTTCAATAGTAACCAAAGTAGTTTTTACTTTTTCTCTGGTGTATTTTTTTTATTTTGTATTTGTTGATTTGTGTACGCACAAGGACAAGATAAGGAATATGGGTTTGGATATTGATACTATAGTTGGAGTTCAGCTTTCTGCAAAAAATGTTTTGGTTTTCCTTAGATACTCCGGGACATGGCAGTGGATGGGCTGAGACACCTCGTACGGATAGAGGTGGTGACTCAATTGGTGAGACACCAACCCCAGGAGCAAGTAAAAGAAAGTCACGATGGGATGAAACACCTGCTAGCCAGATGGGTGGCAGCACTCCTGTTCTGACACCTGGCAAAACACCCATTGGTACACCAGCTATGAACATGGCAACTCCTACACCAGGTAGGCCCAGTCCATTCTCTAAGGCTTCACTTTCTTTTGTGGAAACAAAGCATTTACCTTTATATTGTATTTTGAAATAGACTTCTGCCTAACATGTTCTCCTGCCTGTATGAAAGCAGTCAGTATATGCTCAGTTTACCCACAGCAACTCAGTTCTGGAGGAGAACTGAGATTAAGGTTATATGTCTGTTCTTGTTCAATTTAGTTGTTAAAAAAAAAAAAGTAAAAAATTTAAAAAAAAAGTAAAAAAAAAGTGAAAAATTGATAACAGGCTCTCTGAAAGCTTGGTATCTTATAGGCCATGGATTTCAAGTGCTATGGAAACTTTGACTGAAGAGAACACTTAAAGGTTAGGTAAACAAGTCATCTCCTTCTGCATACAGAAGATTATTTTTTTTTTAAATCCTTTTGTTATATTTTTTAACTTGTGTGTAGGTCACATCATGAGCATGACTCCTGAACAGCTGCAGGCTTGGCGTTGGGAAAGGGAAATCGATGAAAGAAACAGACCGCTTTCTGATGAAGAATTGGATGCTATGTTTCCGGAAGGATACAAGGTAGTTCATCTGGATTAAAATATAGCAGACCAGGATGTGTGGTTTGTTTTTTTTTTTTTTTCTGCCGGGGAGTATTGATTTGTTCTTTTTTTTTTAAACCAAGTTGTCCTAGAATTAGAATGTTTCACATTAAGTATTGATTGTAGACCTTTGTTCGATTCAGTTACTAATTTATTGTAAATCCTTTAGAAAGGTAGAACTAAAGGTGATCTTAAAGGCTAGTCATTCTGCTTGTTAAAGTTGGGAATGCCTGTCAAGGCCAGAAATGAGCTCTAAATTGACTGAAATATTAAGTCCAGATGTAGAAAACATAGAAGAGTCACAAATTCTAAGTCAGCAAGTATGCCGTGTTGATACAGACACTGAAGTGCTGCTTTAACATTTTGTAAAGAGACTTCAAAGTTTATTATCAAGCTCTCAGCAGTGGAAGTGAGCTTTCTGCTGAAATACCATAAATACAGGATACGCACAAATACAGAGTGTCGTGGTGAATTTGTTTGTATTGCTGTGAACATGGGATCTAATGTATGCAATAACGCCCTCAAATCCCCAAACAAATAAAATGGAAAGTGTAAGTTTAGTAGTGCTTATATTTGATGCCTTCCTCTTTTTGTATCTGTTGTGATAAGATAAAGTTTGCTCTTTCTTCTGTAGGTTCTTCCTCCACCAGCTGGTTACGTACCTATTCGCACTCCAGCTCGTAAGCTTACAGCAACTCCAACACCTTTGGGTGGTATGACTGGATTCCACATGCAGACAGAAGACCGGACTATGAAGAGTGTTAATGACCAGCCATCTGGCAATCTTCCCTTCCTAAAACCAGATGATATCCAATACTTTGATAAGCTGCTGGTAAATGAGATTTCACTCAAGCCGATTAAAGTTTCCTGATTTCTTCTGAATATGTAGCAATACCTGTTTACTTGTCTGGAATTATTTGTAGGTCGATGTTGATGAATCAACTCTGAGTCCTGAAGAACAGAAGGAGAGAAAAATAATGAAACTACTTCTGAAAATAAAGAATGGCACACCTCCCATGAGAAAGGTAAGATGAATTGTCAGATGCATTTGTGTAATTTCATTTTTCAAAAATCTGCGTTTGTTTTCAGGCTTAGTTTCAGTTGTCTGTGAGATTCTCTTTAGGATAATCTCCTAAACTTGTATACCTGTTTAGTGCTTTCTTCCTCTTCTGTATCTGTGTGGCTTTTTGTTTGTCATTCAATGCTCTTTGTACAGGAATGTCAGCTACTAAATAGTATATGGTTTATACAGTATTTTTTTTACAATTATGAGAAACTACATTTATAGTGCTTTTTGCTTACAGAGCTTCATAATTTTCTGAATTTTGCTTCTTACACTTAAATTAACAGTGTAGCTCTTAGTTAATTTTCAGCCCTACGCATTACGTTAGCAGTCTTTTCTGCACAGTTTTGCTCTAAATTGGCCATAGCACCAAGCTGCCTAGGTGCAAGTACGTACTGTATAGGCTACTTTTCAGATGGAGCCATTCTTGGTATTAGACCAGGAGCATGCTTTTCTTGAAAACTAAACATCTGGGAGCTAACATCAGGGTGTTTCTCTTCACGCATTCATTTTTAAACAGATCGGTGTAAAATTGTTTGAAGTAGCAGTGGTAGGAGCAAGTATTTTGAGGCCTGTGGTTACAGTGAATGACATATTAACTTGGTTAATATCTACCTGTTTTGTGTTTGTTCAATGTTGTTTCCTTAGTTTAACCGATAGGCTGTTTGGTTTGTTTTTGTTTAGGCTGCGTTGCGACAGATCACTGATAAAGCTCGGGAATTTGGAGCAGGGCCGTTGTTTAATCAGATCCTGCCTCTGCTGATGTCACCAACACTTGAAGATCAGGAGCGTCACTTGCTTGTCAAAGTCATCGACAGAATTCTTTACAAACTGGATGACTTGGTCCGACCATACGTACACAAGGTCTGTTGCAGTTTACTGTTTCATCTTTTGTTTGCTTTTTCTGGTCACTGCTGAGAGAAGTATGTATTTTATTTGCATATCAGAAGAGAATGATAGATACCGTGTTTATTTGACGTAATTGGGATTCATGTTTCTTCTTAAGCCAAACTTTTAAGTTCTTGTAGTGTGATCGAAGTGTGGGCTTTATGGTACATAATGCATGATATAAAAATGATACATGTGCACTTGGTGGTGGGAAGGGAATCTTCTCTGATCTAGGTAGTATCTCTGGGCCATGTCCTTTAGAGACAAAGAGCTGTAAAAAGAGCATAATGGATTGAATATTTTCCAGTCATCACAGAATGTTAGGGATTGGAAGGGACCTCAAAGGATCATCTAGTTCAGTCCCCCTGCCGGAGCAGGACCACCTAGATCATAAAGCTTTAAGCTTGGATTCGTGTAATTGTCTCTGTTTCAAGGAATCTAGTAGGGCCAGAAATACTACTAAAAGTATTAATGAAAGGAAATACTAATTTGTTCATCTTTTTCAGATCCTTGTTGTCATTGAACCACTGCTGATTGATGAAGACTACTATGCTAGAGTGGAAGGCAGAGAAATTATTTCAAACTTGGCTAAGGTAAAGTTCCATCTTTCCTTAAAGCACTGAGTTAGCTTACATGTAGCTGCATGTTTATAGGCATGGCAGAAGAATTAGCTGTACTGTTCATACATCCAATTGGTATGTTTTGTATGTTTTTTCTTCAGGCTGCTGGTTTGGCAACAATGATCTCCACAATGCGACCTGATATTGATAATATGGATGAATATGTCCGAAATACAACAGCTCGAGCCTTTGCTGTGGTTGCCTCTGCTTTGGGCATTCCTTCTCTGTTGCCCTTCTTGAAAGCTGTCTGTAAAAGCAAAAAATCCTGGCAGGCGAGGCATACTGGCATCAAGATTGTGCAACAGATTGCTATTCTTATGGGTTGTGCTATCTTGCCTCATCTCAGGAGCTTGGTTGAAATTATCGAACATGGTAAGTTCTGCTTTCCCAGGCAAAAATTTTTCTATTTACTCATATTTTGAAAATCTTTCATACCCCAGTGATAGTAAGGTCCTTGTTTTGTGTGTTCTTTTGACACTGAGGAACAGTTCAGCTGACTCTGAAAGAGGAGTAGTGGTTCAGTTGTCCTGAAAATAAGTTAATCCCTTTTATACTGGCCCTCTATTTTTGCTATTGTGAATTTAAGTCACAAGAAGTACAAGAAGTGGTTATTAATCACTATTCTCTTGCAGGTCTGGTGGATGAGCAGCAGAAAGTCCGCACCATCAGTGCTTTGGCTATTGCTGCCTTGGCTGAGGCAGCTACTCCCTACGGTATTGAGTCGTTTGATTCTGTTTTGAAGCCTTTATGGAAGGGTATACGTCAGCACAGAGGAAAGGTATATCTGAAATATTTTCTTTAGTTTGAACTGAAATGGTTGTATGTCTTTTGTAACTCACTAGAGACATATTTCTGCATTTAAATAGGGTTTGGCTGCCTTTTTGAAGGCTATTGGTTACCTCATTCCACTCATGGATGCTGAGTATGCAAACTATTATACCAGAGAAGTCATGCTAATCCTTATCAGAGAGTTCCAGTCTCCTGATGAAGAGATGAAAAAAATTGTGTTGAAGGTATGTCAGAATAATTGTTTAACATTAATATTGAATATGTATGTTTTTCTTTTTCTTAAAAAAACCCCCACAAACAAACCCAATCCAAACAAACAAAACCCACCTGAAAACCCAAACCCTACACAAAATTAAAATTGTTGGGTTTTTATTCCCTTTCAGGTCGTAAAGCAGTGTTGTGGTACAGATGGTGTTGAAGCAAACTACATTAAAACAGAAATCTTGCCACCTTTTTTCAAACACTTCTGGCAGCACAGAATGGCATTGGACAGAAGAAATTACAGACAGGTATTTGGGATTTTTTTAGTTGGAAAATTATTTACAGTAGAACAAAACTCACATTAGAATGTTCATTCATGATTAATTTTGTCTTGTATGTCCTGAAACTGAGTTATATTTTGACTAGTTATTTGAAAATTGCATGGCTAGAGGATCTTGAGAGGCTATCAAGACATTTTACATCTGTGAAATATGAGTTTACATCAGTTGCAAGGTGGGGTAGTTCACCCCGTTTGTGTTGTTTAAAATATTGGATGATTTCTGAAGCTGAAAACAGTTTATCGTAGTGGGTTTAATATACATGGTTTCTCCTCTTCAGACTAGGGAAATTTATTTTTGAGATGTAGAAAGTAGATTTTAATGATGTTTGCTTACTGAACTTTTGTATATTTCAGTTGGTTGATACAACTGTGGAGCTGGCAAATAAAGTTGGAGCAGCAGAAATTATTTCTAGAATTGTGGATGATCTGAAAGATGAGGCTGAACAGTACAGAAAAATGGTCATGGAAACAATTGAGAAAATAATGGGAAATCTGGGGGCAGCAGATATTGATCATAAACTGGAAGAACAACTTATTGATGGAATCTTGTACGCCTTTCAGGAACAGACCACAGAGGTATGGCCGAGGGTATTTAGTATTTGGTTCACTTCACTTGTAAGCTAACCCACTGTTAGTTATACAGAAATGTATGCTTCTAAGTTAGGTTTTTAGAATCCTTTTTTAGATGTCAGTGCTCTAATCAATGAAATCCAGAAACAAGCTCTGGAATGTCAGCAGTTTAATAGCAAGTTTAGATGATGTTGTTTAATTAAAATGTAGTGTTGCTGTTGGTCTGATTTTCCTTTGTTTTTACACTCAGGATTCTGTGATGCTGAATGGTTTTGGCACAGTGGTTAATGCTCTAGGCAAAAGAGTTAAACCCTACTTGCCACAAATCTGTGGTACAGTTTTGTGGCGTTTGAACAACAAATCGGCTAAAGTTAGGCAGCAGGCTGCTGACCTGATCTCTCGTACTGCAGTTGTCATGAAGACTTGTCAAGAGGTATTGTGTTGACTTCTCCTACTGAATTTGTTGTAGGATGTCATAGCAATGAGGTAGAAAAAACTAACTTCTAAATCTTTTTACTTGGTTGTAGGAAAAGCTGATGGGACACTTGGGTGTTGTGTTGTATGAGTACCTGGGTGAAGAATATCCTGAAGTACTGGGCAGCATACTTGGAGCTCTTAAGGCTATTGTTAATGTTATAGGTACGTTTGTGTATTGATTGTATACCTGTTTGAGAGCAAAATGAAAAGGCATTATAAAACTAAGTTTGCCTCGTTGAATTCCATAGGCATGCACAAGATGACACCACCCATCAAAGATCTGCTGCCACGGCTTACACCTATTTTGAAGAACAGACACGAGAAAGTACAGGAAAATTGTATTGATCTTGTTGGGCGCATTGCAGACAGGTAAGCTGACTGGCAGCAAAGTGTTTGACCCTCTCTGTGGGCAATTACGGTAGTAAAAGCTAAAATTGAGTATCAGATTTGGCATCTGGGTATTTATTGTCCTATGTCTTGATATTTCTTAAGTTGTGTGTAAAGCTTAAGATGAGGTATTTAGCAGACAGTCTGTTGAACGTATTGTAATTATTTCACAAACGCTTTGTAAGAAGTAGATTGCCCATTTATGCAGACTTAGAATGCACACAGTATAACAATTTTGGAGTACACTGTTAACCAGTGAAGGTCTAATGACCTTGGAGAAGAGGAGGCTCCGGGGTGACCTTATAGCGGTCTTCCAGTACCTCAAGGGGGCCTACAAGAAAGATGGGGAGAGGCTGTTCAGGAGGGCCTGTTGTGATAGGACAAGGGGTAATGGTTTTAAAATAGAGGGAGGTAGATTCAGGTTGGATATTAGGAAAAAATTTTTTACCATGAGAGTTGTAGAACAGTGGAACAGGTTGCCCAGAGAGGTGGTGGATGCTCCATCCCTGGAGACGTTCAAGGCCCGGTTGGATGAGGCCCTGAGCAACCTGATCAAGTTGGAGATATCCCTGTTCCTTGCAGGGGGGTTGGACTAGATGGCATTTGAAGGTCCCTTCCAGCCCTAACCATTCTATGATTCTATGATTCTATAATGGTAAACAGACACCTAACTAAGAAAATT